TGGCCGACGCCGACGCCAGGTGGCGATTTCACATCGTCCTCGCCCCCTAGTGACAGTCGTTCACCCCGTGCAAAATAAAGTATTCATCACTTCACGTACCTGACCCCTGGCCAATGCCCACAATCTAAACCAATTCTCTCCCCTCCCCAACAAACGGACCTATACACGATGGTCTTGCCATGCCCTGTACAACTTTACAGTTTTAATTATCCCTGCCAATGTACTTGCCTGATAAAGAGCTGCTGAAAAATGAGTTTGCCAAATCGACTTTTCAAATTCCTTTTCTAATTTTCGTTTATTATTGAATTTCAGCCTGTTAATTTAGGTAGCCTTCCGAGTGCTTAGACATTATTCATAAATTTACGTGTATTTCATGAGTGATTTGACCTACGACATGCTGTATAACAGTTAAAATTATTCCGTTCGCTGAGATCGATTACTATCGACCAACAGAAGATAGCCTTCTGCGTACTTGAAACGATACGAGATTCTTAACTATGCGTAAACATGTCAGATTCAGCAACAACTTGGGCCAAAGTCTCCAGACCCAGGAGCTGTCAGTGGAGACTTTCAGTACTGGCCTGCTGCTAGGGCAGATAGATAAATGTCAATCTTGTTCGGCCTCGCAGATTACTGATCACGCCACGAGCAAATAGGTAAGGTCATGGGCGCAGATTTAGAGACTTTTTGTGTTAATTAGTCATCGTTCAACCTGTGCCATTTTGCCTATGGCATAACCCGCTGTGGCCCCACGACTGCCCATCTTTGCTGTCTCCCGTTCTCAGTGCATGTCTTGCCTACAGTTAGCCTTCATTTTTTACCTACACGTAGCACAGAGCGTACAGAGCTCAGGAGTCATTCCATCCGTCTTCGAGATAGCACTGACTGGTTGTGCCGAATAAGCCGTAGGTACACATTTTCGCTTTAGGTATCTTTGAGAAGAAGACGCGTCGATGACTGGGACAGTACTTTAATCGCCTGACATCCGTCGCGGATTCATCATCAGAGACATTAGCAGAAAGCGTTACCAGAAACGGGTCAATTTATTTGGACGCGGTGCGCTTCGATCTGCCCGACAAAGGGAAACATTTACCTTCGAGAGACCTCCACCTATTGACAGATCCGGTTTCTGCATCGATGTCTTGTCAATAACGCGTTGCCGAGGACTGCTAGGTATCCTTGTTGGTAGAATACGTCATTTACTACTATTACTGTCCAAGGGTATACAACCGCCCGAATGTGTTTCAAGGGACACCTAATCTGTTTTGCATGACGAAAACAATCGTCTCTCAGATTTCGAATTCAGACAATTGATATAAGTTTAATAGGTATCATTCTAAAGGCCTTCGTTGAAGTCAGAAAAAGGTATTTGGTATTGTGTGGTAAAACAGATGAAAATCAAAGCCCCAATTAACATGCGTGAGCAGCAATTATCCCTTTTAAAATGCAGACACACTCAAAATCCATTACTAGCAAGTATGCCTGCGTCTCAGGCTTTGGATTCTAAGACAATATTTTTGGCGAACAGTAAACTATAGCTCAATTCGTTTTGGTTAGTAATTTTTTTGGGAAGGCTTGTCAGTTAATTTCATAACATTCAGTTCAGGCGATAATACTATGTATACTATTAGAACACTTCATAAGTAAATAATCTTTTATGCTAACTATATAAGTTTATACAATCGCTAGTTTAAAAAACGTTCAATGTAAGTATTCTCCTCCTGATATTTCAGTAGTGAAAAATTAGTAAATATTGAGAAAAACATTTTGTTCTTCGACTGTTTAGGAAGAGGGTTTAGTAACATTTTCAGTTATGACCAGTTGATAAAATAAAGCCGTGTTGGGGAGTGTAAGCTATATCATGGATTTGGTGCATGTGGAAAATTTACAAAATCCTCAATTTTTTGTATTGTATCAAGAAAAAGTTTAAAAGTTATGTTTTAGTGGGAAAACGGGTCAGTTTAAACGGATTTGTAAACAAAACGATGTGCAAAACCCCTACCGTGTCATAGCTTATCGACCACAACCGACTGGATGCGTTTAATCCATCTTGGTATAATGAGATATAAGCAGCAGACGGCCTTTTTCTGAAAAAAACATTATTTATTACTACTTGAGACCGCTTTTCAACGATTTCTGCGTTCCTCGTCTTGGTTGCTATATTTAAAGTTAAAGCGTACCTTATGAAATGGTTTTACAGCTTACAATATTTGCTAGAATTATTGGAAAGGAATCTTTCGCATGAAAATTTTATTACACTCATATTACAGACATCATAAAAGCATATCAGCGAACCGCGAAGTTACTAATAACCATTTAAACTTCTCCAAAGTCCACTTTGCATGACTTGCTCAGCTCCTCCTTGAACGTCTTCATTTTGGCAAGGTGAGTAGTGACGGCACGGTTTGCCTTCTGAATCTGAAACCGGCTGCAATCTTGCGGTAGAAGCTCTTCATCTGATGTCGCAGCGCTGGTATATAAATCATAACGATGAACGGGGCAGTCGTCACGTGCAGCAGCATCAAACAATCGCCAAATCTTGTCCAATAGCTGTTGTCATCCAGCAAAAATACTCCCGATACACTGAACATTTTCTGCACAGTACTGTAGGCAGTTAGAAGGAGGAAGTTGACCGACAGAACCACCATGCACATCGATGCCGTCCACCAGCCCTGGGGTTGCTCGAATTCTCTCCTCAGGCTCTCCGAAGTGCCGGAAAAAGCCAAACTATTAAGTGTATCAATCAGCTTTGCCGGCGGTGTGCTACGCACCCAGAGAATAATTTGAACACTCGAAATAGTCAGTAGTGGGGCGTTGATGAAGATATCTATGCCGTACTTGACAAAACTCCCAGCGTAAATGAGCAGCAGTTTCCCATAGGGCATATTCCTATCCAGACATTCGCACTGCCCCTCCCTCCAGGCCACAACAAAACACTGTGGTACTGCACACAGGAAGCAAGCCAGACATAAGCAGCTAGCACACACCAGATCAATGTAAGCACTGGAGGAGAAGGAGTACTGGTACTTGAAGGCAATCTGCGTAGCCCTGTAACTCACAACGAAGACGAGTACAAGTGAATCAAACAGGTTGATGGCTACGGTAAGGAAGCCACTTTCCCAGACGACGCATACACCTGCCCCCAGCGTGTCACTGGTAAAGGAGGGCATAGCCAGGGAGGGCTGCTGTCTGAATAACTCGAGAAAGGTGCGAACAGCACCGGCGAATATGAGCGAGCGGAGCATCGTGAGGCTGGTGCGCGTCCGACCGCTGAGCCGACAGAGGAGGACGAAGGTAGAGGTGTTGGCCAGGAGACCCACCGGCAGGATAATCATTCTCAGCACGTAGACGCTATCACGAGGGGGTAAGCTAGTTGGACAAATCCAGTAGACCTGACTCATTCTAAGGAGGCAAGAATCTCGACTGAGCTTGGCAGCTTGTTGCCTCTGCTTATATATATATATATACGTTTCGGTGGTATGGGACAGGGGTAAGTGGCGTGATATAACAGCTCCTGTCATTATGCTGCAGTTGTCTCCTACTGAGCCCTTTTTCTTCAGTTGATTTGCTTTTGTCTGTCTCCTGAAAAAGACTTCTGTCAACTTTGAGGTACTTGTGCCTCCTGCTCTCTCTGTAATCATGTTTTATATCATTTTCTGTACTTCAGCAGGAAGGTCATGTGAGCAGTATTTTTATCTGTTCTATTACATATTTGAGCAAAAACGTTTTTAAATAATAATAGTTATGCAGCTGTGGCTGGGAAATAAGACATTATTGAAACCGCAACTGCTAACTTTGGATTTTCGTTCTTAGACATGGGATTAGCTGAGAGTTTTATAAAGTTTCATTTCATACAGGGGGCTATTCTTCAAGGGAAATACGAAAACAAGTGCACATTAATGCGCTTGCTGTAAACTACAGATGAAATACAAGCATCCAACAAGAGATACACGTTGCGTTATCGGTTTTCCCGCGGGGTTGACTAAGGATGTGCATTTTTCTCGAAACTTGTCGTCGAAGCAGAAGCAACAGGTACCTTAATGCCCAAGTAAACCGAATGTGCAGCTTTTACTTGCTTTTCATCTGGGAACAGTCCAAGATTTTTTTAACATTTGTATACATAAAGGAATAGGACAGAGTCCTATTTCGGTTGAATAAAAAAGTGTAAAAAATGGCGTGCTGATTACAAATTGAAACTGAATTTAACAAACACCAAATAACATTCGTGAGGTATTTCACAATAGCGATTCTGGTCACTGCGAGAACCATGAAACCAGCTCAGAAGCACGATGACTCAGGACTATTCGCTTTCATAACCAGCTGTACTATGTTTACATTTCCTCCAGCGATTAACTTTACGTTGACAACTTTTGGATTTCTCGTCGAAATACCTATAGCTCAGCTGGAATCGCTACATAAGACTGTTGCCTGCAGTCTACTGCAGTGTATAATGGATGTCAGTGAGTTTACCCATAGGTCGTACTTCAGGGTTTAAATTTTAAATTTGTAAAATAGTATTTTACCTTTTTTCAGGAAGAATTATATCGCTTTATACTACTCCGCTCGCTGTCTGGCCTTGCTTCTGGATTTCAGCGAACGAAGAAAAATCGATCAGCCCAAGACAAACACTTACAGCCGCAACTTTAAACTTCTGATCGATAACAGTCAGTATTCGCTTTGACAAAGGACAGCAGGCCCAGCTGTCTGAAATGACGGTAAATCTCCAAATTTATTTCGGTGAGCATAAGATGAATTTTAATATAAAAATATGCTTGTCTAATATAAAACACTAATCGAAAGCGAAGATTGTTTTTGGATGTGCAGTAATTACTCAACTTGGCCTCGGGTATAACGTATAAGGCAAAAGAATGTCATCTGAGCACCTTTTTAACCCCTGCGCAAATTGTTCTGACGAGAAGTTTCTCCCCAAAAATATAGTTTTCTTAAAAAACGGTCAGCGTTACCATTAGAACCGTGGACTTGGGAGAAATCAAAGGTTGAAAAATTCGGCACAAGTTTGCCCTACTCATTTTGCCGTAGAACGGGAACATCGTGGAAATAATCCTGATCCAGATAGTCTCGAGGCATACTCTCTTTATGTGATGGCAGGAATTAGCAACAAGACACAGAATAACATGGCTTTAGGCACCA